CAAACCGCAATCGGCCATGTGGGAATCCAGTCCTCTTAACCACCACGCCACCTGCTAGCCTCTAATAAATAATTGTTTAAAAAAAGAGAAAGAATCTTATAATTGGAAGCTGGTAGGTGGCATGGTGGTTGGGACACTGGATTCCCACATGGCTGATCATGGTTCAAGTTCCAGACCTCGTGGATTTATTCTCACTTTCCCATACTCTCTGTCTCTCTCTTTCTGACTCTCTCTGGTGAGCATACATGCCCTACAGCAATTTTAAAATAATAATAAATCAAATTAAATAAATAATTCTTTTTTTTTATTTTAAGAGAGATTTTTGCTGTAGGGCATGTGTACACTTGCCAGAGAGAGAGAAAGTGAGAAATTTCACCCCATAGGAGAGATGGCCATACCACAGTCCCTTTTCCACTCTCTTCTCGGGATCTTGGACACACACGCCCATGCTCCCGGTATGAGTTTTAAGCTGCCGGGTCCAGTACTCAAACCACGGTCAACTACATGGGAGTCCAGTGACATAACCATTATGTCACCTGCTGGTCCCCATAAATAATTTTTATAAATAATTTGTATAATCCTGTTTTTTATTTATTATTTTTATTCTGCTTTATTTACTTTACTTTGATGAGAGAGGCAGAGAGAGAGAGAGAAAAGGAGAGAGAGAAAGTAAGAAAGCAAGCTGCCAGGTCTGTGACTCGAACTACAGTCAGCCATGTGGGAGTCCAGGGCCCTTAATCATCATGCCACCTGCTGGCTCCCCCCCATAAGTAATTCTTTTAAAATGATTTTTAAAGGAATCTGACAGTCACCCAGAACCTGTTCATATATATAATGAATATAATCGCACCTATGTTATAGGTTTATTGCAAAAATAAATCGTGTGAAGCCTTTAGGAAAAAATCTGGCGTGTGGTAACATTTAATATGGCAATATTTATTTATTTATTTATTGTGCTATGTATATATGATAGAATAAATTATAAATACCATACAAACGTCTCTGCTCAATCTTCTGATTGACTTTGAGAGATTTTCACTGTAGGGCGCGTGCGCTCGCCAGACAGACAGAGAGAGACATAGAGACAGAAAGCGAGAAATCACCCCCCAGGGGGGATGGTCACGCCGCAATCCCTTCTCCATTCTCCTCTCGGGATCTTGGGCACACACGCACACGCGCCCGGCGTGAGTTTTAAGCCACTGGGTCCGGGACACGAACTGCAGTCGACTACGTGGGAGTCCAGCGACATAGCCATTACGCTAACTGCTGGTTCCCCTGATTGACTGTTAGGCCTAAAAAAACAAGTAGACAATTGGAAGACTAGTTGGAACAACTTTTTGGACTCCTTAATTTTGTTTTACTCCAGGTTGCCACATTCATCCTCCAGAAGATACTCTTAGATGACACTGGTTTGGCTTATATATGTCAGACATATGAACGTTTCTCCCATGTTGCCATGATCTTGGTGAGTTCTTTCATTGGCCCCCTTTGCAGCTACTTCTGATCATACAGCTTAGTTCCTTTGTGATTGCCACTAAACAGCTTTAGTCTTCTAACTAGAAGAAACAATTCTGGAACCTTATATGATGATCCTTGATCTGTCTGATTGCTGATATTAATTAGAATTATTTTGTGGTTTTTTTGTGTTTTTCCTTCCCCTCCCCCTATTCTGGGAGCAATAGGGTAAGATGGTCCTACAGCTATCCAAAGAGCCTTCCGCCCGTCTGCTGAAGCATGTAGTGAGATGTTACCTTCGACTCTCAGATAATCCCAGGTAAACATTTATAGGATTTAGAGGACTTTAGGGAAATCCTCTGCCTAATGCCTTTCCCATCTCCTGGCATAGCTCCTAAGTCTTTAGGATAGGGAAGGGATAGAACTATATTTGGTTTGTCTGAGACAGAAATTAAACTCCTTTTAAAATCCGAAGTACTGAATTTAAAAAGCCATCAGAGTTGTATCTTCCCACTGTAATTCTCTGATTCTACTCTGAAATTCCAGAGAATCTAGACAGTTCCAAGGGATGCTTTATGATGTATTGCTCCTGTGGTCTGAGCTTTCTGTTGCTACTCCAAGAGGTCAGAAAGAGAAGTATACTTTCAAAGATCTCTCAGAAATGAGCACGGCCCAGGGGGTTCTTGAATTACATTTCCAGTTCTTTCGTTGATTCCTGTAAAGTTCTTGAGCTAATTATTTTATCTCCCTATGTTTATAATCTATCTTTCTGCCAGAAATCATACATTGTAGATACAATGCATCTTAGAAATGTGTGATCTTTGGCTTTGGAAATCCATAATTTATGCTGAAAGCCAGTTGCTCAGATCCTGCTAAACCACATAATGGAGTGATTTCTGTGTTCCTAAGAATGGGGATAACTTGATTTAATATGAACTTAGTCTCTTCCCACTCTGGTTATTGAAGCCATACTTCCTCGACCATTTTGTTCTCTTCTTCAGAGTTCATATTTTCACCAAAGTTTGAAATGTGTTTATTCAGAATTCTACATGTACTATGAAAACTAGTCAGAATACAAAAAGCAACAACTTTAAAATAGCCCTGTAGTTAACATTTACCTTTTTTAGGTTTTCAGATTTGTCTTTCTGCTGGTCATCTTTTCAAAGAAAATGAAACACTTTAAAGTTCATCTGATAATGCTGCTACTATAGTTTTGTTTTTACTGTACATCTATTATTAAGATTTTTAACTGTAAAACTGATGCAATTTCTGTAAAGACACAAATCAATAAGTTCATATACAATTAAAATTCATTGATTTATCATACTATAAGTAAGATCTTCTCTGCTAATGTACTGATTTTTTAATTATTTAACCCATATATTTCCAACATGAGTATTTTCACTTACTGTAATAAATCAGAAACCAGTTGGATTGAAGCAGTTGGGTTGCACCATTTTATTCCATTTTCCTTTTTTATGAAATTCTACATTGGGACATCATTCTGACAATGTTTGTGCACTACAGATCCTAGAAATCTCTGAGACTATGCCTAATACAATCTTCAGAGAATTTTAATGACTTCCTAATGTAACATATAGAGCCATACATTCCCAGAACTCTATATATTTATGTATAAGAGGGGGGTCTCTTCCCCATCTCCAAAAAGTGGGTTTATTTGTTGGTCTCCCTGGTTGGTTTGTTTGTTTCTGATGTAGGGCACGTGAAGCACTCAGGCAGTGCCTCCCTGACCAGCTGAAAGACACAACCTTCGCCCAGGTGCTAAAAGATGACACCACCACGAAACGCTGGCTTGCACAACTGGTGAAGAACCTGCAAGAGGGCCAGGTCACCGATCCCCGGGGTATCCCTCTGCCCCCTCAGTGATCCTCCCCTGTCCCCTCCCACTATTCCCCCAAGTTGGGGAAGGGAGGGGCAGTCTACAAGGAAAACAGCTCAGGTTTATCGCCGACCGGGAATAGACAACCTCAATGCTGAACTGCACTGGAGAAAAGGGGGCGAGGTACCCCTGCTGAGGTGTCTGGGCTGCCATCTCAGGCTGCCTTGAGGACCTGGGCTTCCTCTGCTCCTCCCAGGATATGGGCTCCTGACACAGCAGTCTGCCACCACAGCCCCAGGAGGGTGTCAACACCAGCAAATGCTGTATTTGCAGCATGCCCAAGATGACCTTTCTCCCCCATCTCTACCTAGCCACTGACAGAGAGGGGAGACAGTGGTGATAGCAGCAGCACTCTAGGCATGGTGAACGCCTGGGACCAAGCCATGTGGCGTTTTTATTTTGCCTTCCTGGAAGACTCAAGATGTGTCTCTTCATTCTCTCTCTCAGTATTTGTTTACTTTGTTTTTTTGTTTTTAGTCTCAGAGAGAGGTGTGTTTAGTGGACACAAGCTGTAATATTCAGCAAAACCTTGTCAATTGGCACTGTTTACAAGTTTGTTAGCTGCATAAGCTCAATAAAAAGTTGGTCTGGGCATTACAACCCCTCTGGCAGGCCAATAGCTGCAACAAGCAGTTGGGAGGAATGGGAGGCGCAGGGGGAAGATGTAAAGCCAAAGGACAGCAAGAACCCACCGCCTGTTTCCCTTCCTTCTCCCATTTTTCTGCTCCCAGTCGTGGATGCCATGAGGACCTTAACCTTGTTTCTGGCGTTAGCTGCTAGCTTTTCCAAATCTCAGTGCTTTTTTTCTTTTCTTTTTTTTTTTTTTTTAAACTTCCCTTCTATTAAACTTAATTCATTGAGCTGTCCTGGAAGGGTATTATATTGGGGGAAGAGGGGCGGAGGTGGCCCTCATCTTCAGTGCACATCTTCACTGATATTTTCTTGATGACTTTTTAAAGGGAGGTGCCTAATAGTAAGGTGACAGGCTACTTGATCCTGTTCTTTGTTTTAGTGTGAATTTCAGCAGCTCTATTTGTCTTCATGATTGTACTTGAAACAGTATTAGCTGAATGAGCTGAAATTACTCAAATTTGAGATGGAGAGCTGGACTCTGCTTGTTTGCTCAGTTTCAATTATTTTTCTTTTTGACACATTCTCTTTTGGTCAATGGAAGTTACAGGGTTGTCCCTAAAACATTTTTGACTCATACTGTGTTAGAGAACTCCCCTTTCTTCTCTGGAGCTTTAGATGGCTCTGTTCACAACCCACAGGCTTGAATCTGTAACTAAATGTAAACTGCCTTGCTTTCTCAAAATCCTTCCCCCTTCTATCACCTGCTTTCTCTCTCTCTCATCCCCATCTCTAAGCAAATATGGGATTGCTAATCCAGCTCGAGAGAGGGACCAAGTATTTTCTGTCCAAGTTTCGCACAATTAAAGGTATCTCTGAATAAGTATGGAGAGAGACTGTAGGGGGCAGACTCAGAAACCTTTGCAGAGGCAGTTTTGCCAACACAAGGGCTCTTTCAAGCCGACTTTCACAAAGGGAGCCGGCCTAGTTAGTTGGCTTCTGTCTCTTTAGAGCCAAGAAAGTAGCAATTAAATAGCCTAGATTTAGGAAGGGTAGAATAAGCACTTATTCCCTGCCTTCCAAAATGAAGAGGAGAACAAGGCCAGCTCTCAATAATCTCAAACCTGAAGAGGAGAGATCTTGGAGAAAGCAGAGAACAGCATGGACTGGATAGATGTCTTGACTCCCTTCAGCCCATAGTCTGTGATCTGGAGAGTCCAGCTAGGGTCACCCTGATTTTTTGACAACCGCCTTTCTGCTGAGCCAAAGTTTTCTCATTCCCCCTCCACTGGGGAAGCAGCTGAGGCCCAGGGCCTTGCTCCCTGGGAAATTCTCTTCTCTCTCCATCTTTCGGTGCATTGGCCATGTTACTGTGCCAATAGTGTCTTAATTCTTGTCCCATCTATTCTCAGCTGGCCTTGGAACCCACATAGGAGTTGGTGGGGGAGGGGTGGAATGGGTATTATTTCTCATAGTTGATCCTGATGTTGTATGTATTATATAAAGAGATGCCTCCCCTTATTTTGTTTTTTTTTTTCCATTCCTCTCCCTCAACAGAATTTAAATAAAACATGCTTCTGTTTTTGTAAAACCTATTTTTTATATATATATATACTGAAGATTTTATTCTGTCTATAAAGATACCTAGGCACTTTAGTCAGATGATCTTGTCACACCTGCCTCTATCTTCCGTACACACATACACTGCCCTACCAAGAAGAGGACAATGATGGTCCCTTTGGGAGACTTCCACTGATGTATGGAAGCTGTTTGGTGAACGAGAACGGTGCCCCCAATCTAATAAAGTCTCTTGTTGGTGCAGAAGCTCACTCTTGGCTGTAGTGACCAGAACTTAGTGCCAGTGTGGGAGAGACTTCTATTAACCAATAGGTGATGCTTGTAACATTTGTTCATGGGTTTCATTTTCATCTCCAGAGTTCAGGACTCAGAGTCATATCCAGAGTAAGTTCCATGGCTGGCTTTCAGTGGGGCACAGCCACCCCTAATTCCAGGGGTTTTTTTCCAAGGACTGTAGAGGACATATGACTATTTTAATGGTGGAATAGGGCAAGGAAAGGCCCTATTCCAGGCGATAAGTAACCTTCAGAGCATGCCTTCTGAACTACCTCCATATGATTCCCCCACTCACCATATCTGCAGTTCAAAGGCTAGGGAAAAAGGGTATACAAGGTTGTTGCTATCAAAATCCTAAGGAAAACATTTGGAATAGTAAACTGTAGAATGGAATGAGATCTTTCTTTGCTGATACATTGTGGGATTTAATTTTGGGGAAAATATTTTAATATATGTATTTTCAGAAGTGGATGTAGCAAGCAGAAATCTTGAATAACACAATAAACAAACCTAATAACTGACATGTGTAGAACATTGCACTCTTAACCAAGAGTATACATATTTTTTAAAGTTTATTCCGTGAAGGGCTGGCAGGTGGTGTGATGGTTAAGATGTTGGACTCCCACATGGTTTGAGTTCCAGACCTCCTGGTGGCTTGCTTTCTTGCTTTCTCTCTCTCTCTCTCTGTGTCTACTCAAAGTTTTGAAATAATTATAAAATTAAATAAGTTTTTTTTTTTTTTTTTTTAAGTTTATTCCATGAGTGAGAGAGACAAGGATACAGCATCCCTAATGGGGTCCCAATGCCATGATCCATTTCCAGCTTCAGTCAACCTAGACCATTGGCACATATTTGCCTGGTGCACTCAACTAAAGTCTCTAGGTACGAACCAGCCACTTTCCCACATGAATCTGCCTAATGGAGTTTTGCACTTTAAGTGTACCTAAAGCATCTACCAGAATAGATTGTAGTTCAACTATCAAGCAAGCCTGAAAAAAATTTTTAATTAAAAAAGAATGTTCTTTGACCACCATGTGATCATGTTAGAAACAAGAACTGGAAAGTCCCTGATTTTAAAACCTAGGCAATACAGTTCTTTTTTTTTTTTTCCCCTTTGGAGAGGTTTTTGTTGTAGGGCACGTGTGCTCGCCAGAAAGACAATAGAAAGACAGAAAGCAAGAAATCACCCCCCAGAGGGGATAGCCACGCCTCAATCCCTTCTCCTCCATTCTCCTCTGGGGATCTTGGGTGCACATGCACCCAGCGTGCGTTTAAGCCACCGGGTCCAGGATTTAAACCACAGTCGACTACATGCGAGTCCAGCTACATAGCCATTACGCCAACTGCTGGTCCCGGCCATAGAGTTATAAAAGACGTATGTGTCAAAGAAATCACAAAATTAGAAAATATGTTTGGACCAGCAGGTGGTGTGGTAGTTAAAGTACTGGACTCCCACATGGTTGACCATGGTTCGAGTACCAGTCCTGGCAGCTTGCTTTCTAATTTTCCCTCTCTCTCTGTCTCTCTTGGTTCAAATTAAAATAATGATGGGGGCTGGCAGTTGCATGGAGGTTAAGAGTGTTGGACTCCACATGGTTGACTGTGGTTCAAGTCCTGGACCCGGTGGCTTGCTTTTGCTCTCTCACTCTATGTCTCTCTGGTCAAATTAAAACTTAAATAGATAAATAAGTACATAAAATGAAGTTCAGTAAAATAATTTTTAAAAATGATGATGAGGGGACCAGCAGGTAGCATGGGGGTTAAGGCACTGGACACTCACACATGGCCAACCACAGTTCAAGTCCTAGACCTGGTGGTTTGCATGAATTTCAAACCACGCCTGTGTGTGTATGTGTGTGTTTGAGAGGTTTTTGCTATAGGGCATGTGCACTCACCAGAAAGACAGACAGTGAGAAATCACCCCCCAGGGGGATGGCCATGCCGCAATCCCTCCTCCAGTCTCCTCTCGGGATCTTGGGCATGCACACAAACGCGCCCTGCGTGAGTTTAAGCCACCGGGTCAGGGACTCGAACCACAGTAAATTACGTGGGAGTCCAGTAACATAGCCATTATGCTAACTGCTGGCCCCCAGGCATGTGTGTGTTTATGCCCAAGATCTAGGAGAAGGGATTGTGGTGTGTGAGTGAACATCCCCTTTGGGTGATTTCTCACTTTCTTTCTCCTGTCTTTGTCTCTCTGATGAGTGCACATGCCCTAAAGCAAATATTTCCAAAATGAGAGAAAAAAATGAGAAAAGGTACATCACATGTCTTACATAAACTAGCAATGACTGAAAAGAGAGGAGAGGGACCAGCAGTTGGCATAATGGCTATGTTGCTGGACTCCCATGTAGTCGACCGCAGTTCGAATCCTGGACCTGGTGGCTTAAATTCACACTGGGTGCATGTGTGTGCATACTCAGGATCCTGAGAGGAGAATGGAGAAGGGATTGCGGCTTGGCCATCATCCATCCCAGGGGAGTGGTTTCTCACTTTCTGTCTCTCTGTCTCTCTCTGTCCTTTTTTTTTTTTTTAATTTATTATTTTCCAATTTGACTAGAGAGAGGGAAAGTGAAAAAACAAGCCACCTGGTTCAAAACTCGAACCGCAGTAGGCCATATGGGAGTCCAGCGTCTTTAACCACCATGCCACCTACCGGCCCTCTCTCTCTTTCTGGCAAGCACACATGCCCTATAGCAAAAACCTCTCCAAAAAAATTTAAAAAGATTCCAATTCACTTATTAAAATAATTATTTTATTTTTATTTTTTTTTAATTTATTTTTTTTTCCAGTTTGATCAGACAGAGAAAGAGAGAGAAAATGAGGAAGCAAGCCACCAGGTTCAGGACTTGAACTGCGGTCAGACGTAGGAGTCCAGCACCTTTAACAACCACAGCACCCACTGGCCCCTATTTTTTTTTTCTTTTTTGGGGGAGAGGTTTTTGCTATAGGGCATGTGCGCTCCCCAAAAAGAGAGAGAGAGAAAGTGAGAAAGCAAGCCGCCAGGTCCAGCACTTGAACTGTGGTCAGCCATGTGGGAGTCCAGCACCTTTAACAACCACAGCACCCACTGGCCCCTATTTTTTTTTTCTTGTTTGGGGGAGAGGTTTTTGCTATAGGGCATGTGCGCTCCCCAAAAAGAGAGAGAGAGAAAGTGAGAAAGCAAGCCTCCAAGTCCAGAACTCTGACCTCCATCGACCATGTGGGAGTCCAGCACCTTAACCACTGTGCCACTTGCCTGTCCCCTGCCCCATAATTCACTTTTTTCCCTCTTTAATTGCCAGAGGGAATGTGTGCTTGCCAAAGCAAGAGAAAGCACCCCTCCACAAGGTATGGTTACAACATAATCTTATTTTCCTCCATTTCTCCATCCTGTCAAAATTTGGGGCATGTATGCAACACAACCTTGCTGCTTTATCAAGTCTTTGGGCTGAGGATTTGAACAGTGGTCAGCTATGTGGAATCCGGCTCATGTACTTTGGGAAAATATTTTAATATATTTAACATAATATATAACCAATTCTCTTATGAAGCAGCACAACCCAGTCACCAAAACCTACCTTTCCAGAATATCACAAGAAAGGAAAACTGTGGGCCAACCTCTTCCATGAATGTAGGCATAAAATTCACAGAAAAAATAAGCAAATCAAATCTGGCAATATATACAAATAGTAATGCCAGGACCAGCAGGTGGCATGGTGGTTCAGGTGCTGGACTTACACATGGCCAACCGTGGTTCAAATCCCAGACCTGATGGCTTGAAAATCACACCTGGGATGTGTGCATGTCCGAAATCCCAAGAAGAAACAAGAGAAGGGATTGCTGTGTGGCCATTCACCCTGGGGAGTAATTTCTCACTTTCCCTCTGTCTGCCTCTCACTCTCTGCCCCCCTCTCTGATGAGGGCACATGTCCTATGGCAAAAAATTAAAAAAAATTAAAAAAAGAGTGGGGACCAGCAACTGGACACTCCCACATGGCTAACCACGGTTCAAGTCCCGGACCTGGTGGTTTGCTTTCTCACTTCCCCTCTTTCTCTCTCTGTGTCTCTCTCTGTCAAATTTAAAATAAATGAATGAATGAATAAAATTTAATAAATAATTATTTTTAAAAAAGAGTAATGCATCAGTTCTAACTTGGATTTATTGCAAAAATAATGACATTGATTCAGTACTTCAAAACCAATCAATACAATTCATACAATCAACATAAAAGGAGGAAAAGCATATGATCTAGACAGATGTAGAAAAGAACACTACAGGGACCAGCAGTTAGCATAATGGCTATGTTGCTGGACTCCCATGTAGTCGACCGCGGTTCACATCCCAGACCCGGTGTTTTAAAACTCAGGCTGGGCGCGTGTGCATGCGTGCCCAAGATCCCAAGAGGAGAATGGAGGAGAAGGGATTGCAGCGTGGCCATCCCCCCTGGTGGGTGATTTCTCGCTTTCTATGTCTCTGTCTCTTTCTGGCAAGTGCACGTGCCCTATAGGAAAAAAAAAATAAAACACTACAAAGTTTATCTATTCATGATTAGAAACAAGAACC